TGATCACATTAATTTATTATTAGCAATTAGATTCGCCCAAGCTTAGAAAGAAAATTACTTAATATTTATTGTGTTCAAGAATGATATTTTGAATTTTTATCAGTAGAATTAACCGCTTAGTCAATTTAACAATAATTGAGTGTTGAATAAAGAAACAGGCTCTAATTTTCTAAACTCATCATGACGTTGCCGATCATTTGAGTAAAGAGTTTAACTGATGCGATTTATTTAATTTCCGGTCTCGAACGAAAGCCCCAAATCTGGATCTATGTTGCATCTCCGTCATGACTGTTTTACCTTTCCTAATGGTCGAACTTCTTCGAATGTACTTGATAATATTGAAAGTTAATAAGTCACTGAAATGTTTTACTTTTCACTGGAGTTATTTATTTGTTATTGAGTTTTCTTGCAATTAGTTATAAGTTTATATTTGTAATTGTTAATAAATATCATTAAAAATAAAATGAATACGTCTACGTAATATAGTTCAATCCAGTACTAAATCTATTTTCAATAAGTACAATAGTTTTAGTCTGTTTATAGAGGTAAACATATTTATATTTGTTATTAAAAATATTTCATTTTTAGAGTACTTTATATTTATACTATAAATTTCAAGAACATTATTTAAAAATAATACCGTTATTTAAAAATACTTACTTTATATCATAAATGTACTATTGATTGGTTTTTATTGTTTATATACGTCAGTATTTTCTTTGTCAACATAATATATTTAATTTTATGTATAGTGAATATTTAATATTTACATTGTTATAACAATTAATTAAGAATAGTAAGATGTGTTTAATTAATTATTAGAAAAGAATACAATCATTGATACAGTAATTGACAATGTTGTATAACTTTTGCTGCAATATTTTATATTTACGATTTTAAATAAAATTAGAATACCTATTAAATTAAACTAATTTACACAATGCACAATTTATACATGTATTATTAAATGATTAAATTAATAAACTATACTTTTAGCAAACAAACTATGATGTGCTTAGATTGATGGCTAATTAAATTTTTATTAATAATGTATTCAATTATATGCAATTTACACATATTTTTCAACATAGCTATTAAAACCCAGATGTATTTAATGGAGAAGATGTCATATATTCCTCAAACTAATCATGTTTATCACACGACTTATCTGCTAATAAAAACATTGTGTAATAGTTGACTATCCAGTGATGTCTAAAGAGCAAGGGGTATTTAGGTGTTTTAATATCTACTTTCTACATATTTACAATATTAATGATTCAAGTCAAGAAACATAAAGTCTGGGTTTTATGCCTTAACAAGATTATTTTGATTTCTATCCAAGAGGCAATATAAGCCAGCTGTTAAAACTATTGCTTAGGTTATATTGCTTAGCTTACTATTGTTGCTTGTATTCATGAAGAGATTTAAAGGAATTAACTTGTCAGCGACATGGGTTCACTATTGGTTTATGGGTTACAACATGTAATACCATCACCTTATTCATATAAATCCAGTGACACTTAAACATATATCCTTTTAAAATACTAGAAATATTTTTATTGATGATAATTATACATCAATAATACAAGAAATGTTGAGATTTTTCTTTAAACAGCTAATTTATTTTATCGTTTTTAGGTTTAGTTTTAACAGCTGGTCATATATTGCCTCTTGGATAGAATCAAATAATCTGTTAAAAAAGGCAGACTTTATGTTTTTCTTGACTTGAATCATTAATTATTGTAAATATGGCCAAGTGGGTGTTAAAACACCTAAATACCCCTTGCTCTTTAGACATCACTGGATAGTCAACTATTACACAATGTTTTTAGTGCTTATGGATAAGTCGACTGTAGATAAACATGATTAGGTTTGAGGAATATATGACATCTTCTCCATTAAATACACATCTGGGTTTTAATAGCTATGTTGGCAAAATATGTGTAAATTGCATATAATTGAATACATTAATATTAATAAAAAGAAATTTAATTAGCCATCAAATCTAAAGCACATCAACAATTTGTTTACTAAAAGTATAGTTTATTAATTTAATCATTTAATAATACATATGTATAAATTACATGCATTGTGTAAATTAGTTTAATTTAATAAGGTAGCTACAATTTTATTTAAAATCAATAAATATAAAATATTACCTTAAAAGTTATACAACATTGTCAATTACTGTATCAATGATTGTATTCTTTTTCTAATAATTAATTAAACACATATCTTACTATTCTTAATTAATTGTTATAACTTAATGTAAATAATACAAATATTCACTATACATAAAATTAAATGTTAATATTTGACAAAAAGAAAAATACTGACGTATATAAACAATAAAAAACCAATCAATGAATACATTTATGATATAAAAAAGTAGAAATATTTTTTTTTTTTTAAATAACTTAATTTATTATTTTTAAATAATGTTCTTAAATTTATATTATAAATATAAAAATTACTCTAAAAAAGTAGAAATATTTTTTTTTTTTTAAATAACTTAATTATTTATAAATTATGTTTTTATACTTATACTATAAACTACATGACTAAAACTATTGTACTTATTGAAAAGAGTGATTTAATTACTAAGTTAATTATTTTACGTAAGGTATTATTCATTTTTATTTTTAATGATATTTATTAACAATTACAAATATAAACTTATAACTAGTTGCAAGAAACAAATAATAAATAAATAACTCAAGTGAAAGAGTAAAACATTTCCAGTGGCTTGTTAACTTTCCAATATTTATCAAGTACATTTCGAAGAGTTTGATTGCCATTGAGAGGAACAAATTGATCCGCGGTAGGTGCAACATAGATCAAAAAATTTAAGGCTCGTTCCGGAAGTTCAGGGCCAAGGTCTAATGTCAATCGCATGGTTAAATACTTACTCAAATGATCAACTGAAAAAAAATCATGAGTAATGAAGGTTTAGAAAATTAGAATTTTGTTTCTTTATTCTACTTATAATTATTGGTTAAATTATTCATGAGTTTAATTCTACTAATTAAAAATTCAAAGCTATCGAATAACAATTTTTTAATGATATTTAAGTACAATTTTTCTTTTCTAGGCTTGGGCGAATCTAGTACTAATAATAAATTAATGTGAATACTGTGAATTAATACATATTTTTACACAAAAGTTTGTACAAATAGTACTTGATCACACTTAAAAGTATAGAAATGATAATACAGTATTTTTAAAATTATAATTATTTGGTTATTTACTACAGTAATACTTTCCTATGTTTGGGTTATGCATAAAAATACATTAGAATAATAAAAGAATCGCACATAGAATTTTAGACAATATTTCATTCTGTAGTATTTAATTGTGACACAGTATTTTAATTTAAAATGCTTACCAGTTGCATTAGCTGTTGTTTTTATATAACGTACTGAGTTGTCTTTCAAAACTCTAATCAATTGATTATCACTGGCCATTTCTATAGGATGAGGTTTAAATACTAGTTCTATTTCATCTACTGACACGCCTTTTGATGAACCATCACATTCTGTTATGTCTGAAGTGTCGACAGTTGAAGCTGGTCCTTCTTTTTCTGAGATCATAATAGACTTCATTTTTTTTGTCACTTTTGTTTGTAACATTGTTCTTGTTACATTATCTTGGCTTGAACTATTTGAAGGTTTTGATGTAGTCGATGAGCTACTTTCATTTAGTTCTTCATGTTGGTTCTTTTTGGGTCGTTGAAGTCGATTTTGAGTTTGTAATTTAATACCTTCATTTATTGATTGAACTAAATTGGCCTGACTATGACTTTTATTTAACTTTTCTAATACTTTAGTTTGATGTGCTTCATATTCATCACGGTTAGGATAGATCTTAGATATAAGAAGATCAAAATTTGGATCAGGACGTAGAGACCTTTTAGATACTAGTTTCTTACGACAAGTAGGACATTCCTTATTGCCTGAACGAAGAGCAGTCACAATACAGTCTGAACAGAATCTAAAAAAATAATTAATTATAATACGGACGATATATTTAATTGTATTATAATTACCTATGAAGACACTCTTTAGTAGTCATTGTTTTTTTCAACATATCCAAACATATTGGACACATTAATTCACTATGTAGACTTCGTGGTGATACAGCAATTTCGGTATTGTCAGTAACAGCTTCTTGAGGTGATCTATGCAATTCATATAGTGAAAGTTCCCAAGTTTTGGTAAGACCCGTTGGATCTGCTGAAGCCATGGTAAGTAAGTAAAATACGGTTAAAATAATTCAGTAAAATAAATTAAATATGAGTATTACAAAAAACGTATAATATTTAAATAAAATATGTACTCAATAATAGTAATAATAACAATAATATATTATTTAATTTAACTATAAAATTAAGCTTAATTTAATAATATTATAATGACATAAAAAAAATAATAAAGTTTTTGATACATAGACTATAATATAAAATTATAGAATTTAGATGAAGTGTTTACAAAAAATACTGCGTTGTTGTCATAAGCTACATAAACAGTAAACACATGAATCAGACTTCACAATTGATTCCGTTCTCTTTACGATAGTAAAAAACTACTCGAAAAAATCGATTATTAACCATTAAACAATTTAATTTACAGCAAACGATAAATAGTGAAAAAGCGATAAAATAAGAAATATAATTAAAACTAAATCAAATAATACTATAGTAAAAAATAAAAATGTTGAATATAAATCTTAAACTAATGTAAAATATTATAATATTATGCAAGTATTACCATATTTCAGTTGTCAGCACTGTATTCACAAATTGTATGCATTTTTCATCCATGCGATTGTTGATGTAAACAATAACGGTTTACATAGTATCGATTTTTATTATCAGAAAAATTACAAAATTATTTATTTCAGCAAAATTGGAAGTAAAAGGTATATACTATACAAATTGAAAACATTACAAACTTTGTCATTCAATAAACATTATATTAAACGAATAATGATTAATTTTTATTATTTCTGACATTATCTGGTGTAGCGAACTAGGGGGTTATATAGTGATTAATGATTATTATAGCCTAATTATAATATAAGCAAAATGGTTTCTTACTATCATTTGGTTCATCGACTTTATTGCATTTTACATGACCAAATAATACAGACTACACTTCAATGCATTATAAATATACAAATCCATATAAGTATTATTGCAAATAAATATAGTTAAATGCCATGTTAAACACTAATAGTTAGAAAAGTTCCTATTTTATTAATTTTGAAAAACTTGAAAATTTTTCTAATAATAACATTTGTATTTTACAAAAATTTATTAAAATAAAATTAAGTCAGAGATGGTTTTTTTATTAGAAAAAAAATTAATTTTGTTATCATTAACAAGAAATGTTTATTGTCCTATTTCATTGTCAATTATTCCAGAATTTATTTTAATTGTGTTCACAATATTCGTATAAATTGAACCTTTGTCTGATTAATATAATTTCGAAATTTCGCTGTCAATTTTATTTAATTTTTTAAGTATTTAAACCATTTAAAATAATAAGCTATTATAATTATTTACTGAATAGATATTTGTAATCTGTATACTTTTGAATATTTTTTTAAATTTCATTCTGTACTCAAATCCTGATTCATAGATCAATCTAAATTATTTTTTGATTTAAAATATATTTCTCTAATTTTTTATAGATAAATTTATTTTAGAAATTAAATTAAATCAAGAGAATTAGATATCAGAACTACCCAAACCACTTACTCGTATTACTATAACAGAATTAGCAATTCCAGGTACGATTAAATAAATAATTTTTTTGTAGTAACTTATGTATATTAAGTTAAGAGACTTAGTAAGCCATACTATTATACCTCATAAGTCATTGGAATATCTTTATTAAGATATTTTTTCTGTTAATAAAATTGATAAATATATGTATTCATGTATATTACCATAAACTAATAAACTATGTTTTAGGATATTATGATACATTTTCGTACACCACACGTCACATAGCAAAATAGGGCCAGATGCATCAAGACTTGCAAAATATTTAAACTATTTATTTGAACCTACCATGTGACGATTCGTCTACACATGGTCTATTACTCTAACATGTGATATTCAAACTCAACTATATCTTGGAATAAGGTAATTAAAATATTCATTTAATTTTGGTTTTTAAATTAAATTAATAGGCATTTCTACAATTTTAATTAGTATAATTAATTTCTAAGTTGACCATTGATTATTTGTTTTAGATTGTGGCGTACCGTATTATATTATATTAGTTCAACACATATATTATACGGAAAGGTGACGCGTATACCGATAAGATAATGTATTCAAACAGTGTAGTACCAAACGGTTAGAGTGAACACATGAACATCGAGTTATTTAATCTAATAGTATTATATTAAAAGATGTGCATATAATATTGAATTTTAAATTAAAAATATAAAACTATACTTTGTTTAGCAAGAACGCATTTCTTAAACAAAAAATGATTTTTTGGTTTAAACTAAGTCTTTAAATTATACATTGAATGAATGAAAACAAAATTTTAAAACTACTTATTGTGCGGAATCTAATGGTATTACTTTAAAAGATGTAAAATAAATATTGAATTATATATTAAAAAAAAAAAAAAAAAAAAAATCTATTTATGGAATACGCATTTATAATACAAAAACTATATTATAGGTAAAACAAAGTCATTTATGAACATATTGAATAAATGAAAAAATGATTTTTTAAATTATTTTATGTTCTGAATATAACCGTATTAATTTAAAAGATGTGAATTTAATAATGAATTTTATATTCAAAAAATAAAATTTTAATCTATTTATGATATACACATTTATAATAAAAACCTATTTTATTGATTAAAATAAGTCTCTATGAACATATTAAATGCATGAAAACTTATTTATAAAAATACTTTTTATTCTGGATCTAATGGTAATAGTTTAAAAGATGTGAATTTAATATTGAATTATATATTAGAAAAATAAAATTTCAGGCTTTTTATAATATATAAAATATAAATTCAATATATAAAAATAATTTAATAGATTAAATTAAATAATTTATGAATATATTGAATGAATGAAAACATAATTTTAAAACTACTTTTTGTCCTGAATCTAATGGTAATAGTTTAAAAGATGTGTTTTTAATATTGAATTTTATATTAAAAAAATATAAATTTAATGTGTATATTCATTATGCAAATGTATACAAAAATCATTTTTTGGAATTTATTAAGTCATTAATGAACATATTGAATGAATTAAAACATTATTTTAAAACTACTTTTTATTCTGAATCAAATGGTATTAGTTTAAAAAAAATGAATTTAATATTGAATATTATATTAGAAAAATAAAATTTTAATGTGTATATCCTTTATGTTTATGTTATACAAAAATCATTTTTTAGATTAAACTAAGTCATTAATGAACAAACTAAATGAAGGAGCTCCTGCTCCGGCCCCATGATGATATCTGGCACATCACTGGGCTGTAGTGGCCGGCCGACGCATTGCTCCATCTCCCGTCTGTCTTCTGCCCAGAACGGACAGTTAAACAAGGTGTGCTCCACAGTGTCCTCCGGCTCTTCGCAGTGCATACAGCAGGGGTTAGCTGCCCTTTTCCTCTTCCACAGGTAGTGCTGGTAGCATCCGTGACCCGTCAACGCCTGGGCCATGCGAAATGTCA